GAGGAGAGGAGCAATTAATATGCAAGATGGGAAAACAAGGACTGCAGGAAGAGCTAACAGAGAAACAGCAGTAAACTCAGCAAATGACTTTAGCAGGTGGTTCATGTGCTATTAATTATAAACATGGCCATTCACTCTTATTGAAACTAAACTGGATTACCATAAGCACTTGTGTTCAGATAATTTTTTAGTTTCATTTACAAAGCTAGAGTAAAAATATTAATGGAGCAGCTGGGTTGATGACACAAAATGAAAAAAAAAATGCCTTTTTTTTTTTTGCTTTGGTTGGATACAAGTTATTTTCTTCTTTTTTTGTAAATTATACTCATCCTATTTTAGGATTTGAGCCCATATTTTTGTTTTATTCATTCCCTTATTCAAGGAATTCTCAAGAAGTAGGGTTATCAGTTTTGGCCTGGAGGTATTAAAACAACCACTTGGATGCAACAAGATGTTTGGGGTGTTTCTCTGCTGCCATCTGTTGGGCATCTAGAATTGTGCTCTTCAGCAGGCTTGAATCTTGCAGATCTCTATCCAAAACTCCCCAAAATATTTGGAGATTTCTTTTGGTCAAACCCAGAATAGGAAATCATAAGGGAGGGTTATTTTATCTGGGTCACAACTGGCCCAAGCAGAGAACTTCATGAACATACTGCTCTCTTTCAAAAGTCACTTCCGGTGAGATGGGCAACCATATATCAATAAATCAATACATTCTAAAATATCATGCAATCATTGAAAATATATTCTTTCTATAATCAGTTATGGATAAAATATTTTTTGTTAAACAAGCAGGAAAAAGAATTCAAAGTACCTGCCTATTTTTCTTTTTTTTAAAAGAATCAGGAGAAATGCAGTAAATTAAAAGGTGCTTCTTTGCAAATCAAGATAAAACATTCCCTATATATTTTAAACAGCTTGTGTTCTCTTTTCAGATGTAACAGGGGACAAATCAGTGGAGTTAGTAATGAAGAGGTTTCAACCAACAAAGGATCTTACAGGAAGAAGGGGAGTGAACATTCAAAAAGCCTACCCAAACCATTTATTTTTAAAATGAAGCTAGCTAGTTATGACTTCACACCTTAGAAATAAGGAATACATCATGTTTCGTCTGCATGCACAAACACGGATGAATAAAATGACAGCAGGCATACAGATACCACAACTCTCTCTCTCCACCCCTGGAGGGCTGGGAATTGAGACTGTTTGGGAACATAGACCACTTCTCCTGAATGAGCCAGTGGAACCTGGGAGAACTCCTTCAGCCTAAACTGTGAGTGGATTTGCAGGCAGTGCCATATGTCAAGAAGCACTTTTGAAGAAGTGCATCTGCAATCCTTCTGGAGCTGTTAAATTTGTCAAGAGTTTTTTTTTTTATATATACCTAGGACCAGCCTCTCCTTGGTGATTGCAATATGTTTGATATGGGGCTACCCTTGACACATTTCCACAAACTGTTATTGGTGCAAAATATGGCAGCTGGACTGTCAGTTGTGATGAAAGATCTGTATCTTTGTATTTTATAAATCTGCAAAACAAATTACATTTAGTTATCAATGGATCCCAAGTCATGTCCCTGAAGCAATTGGTTCCAAATCATATTCCACAATCTTCATGCATGACAGGAACACACAGATGTTCCTATTTTCTTTCCAATATCATTTTAATATAGTTTGTGAACTGTCACATACATTGGCCTCATAAGCAAACCAATTACAACATTTAAGAAGGACTGCTTCATGTATCATGAAAGTGACTTGGAAGATGGATAGATGGATAGATAGATAGATAGATAGATAGATAGATAGATAGATAGATAGATAGATAGATAGATAGATAGATAGATAGAACAATTAACCAGTGGAACAGCTTGCCTTCAGACATTGTGGGTGCTTCATCACAGGAGGTTTTTAAGACAGTTACTTGTCTGAAATGTTGTAGGATCTCCTGCTTCGGCAGGGGGCTGGACTAGAAGACCTCCAAGGTCCCTTCCAGCTCTATACTGATTCTGATTCAAAAAGTTTAAGTCAACAAAGAAGAAAAGTTATCAACACCCTTGTCTCATAAGGGTACTGGAGGGGGAAAAAATAGCATGACAGACAGAAACAGCAGAAGCAGAATAAGAATAGAAGGAAGCAGAAAAATGGGTGACATGTCCAAAAATATGTATGAAGGATCCAGATGGGCCCTTCAACCTGGCAGTCTCTTGGTTGATGATGGACAATAGAAGCCACAGGCACTTGGTAACACAGAATGAGACCTTCATCTACAGTATTTGATTTGATTGGGACTTTCTCCTTAGATTGTTGTGTAAGGATCAGGACCAAAGAAGGAGAGCAAAGCCTAGAATAATGAATAAGGAGAAGCCAGCAACACTTTCTTAATAGTTCAAGTGTTCCTGTCATCTGCAAAGATTTAAAATTTGATTTAGGACAATCAGTGGTAATGAATGATGACTAATGAACTATTATCTTTTAAGCAGAATAAAGAGATTTATTGTTACAAATTCAAAAGAACTTTACTGGTAATGGGGAGAACTCTGGATTTAATCTGAAGGAATCCTGGGAAGTAGGGAAATAAATAAATCAGAGACTTTGGGGCTGAATAAAAGCAGCATAGAAAAATGCAGAGATAATTGCAACTGGGGAAAAAAAAGGTCTGGAAAGAAAGTGAACATGTTACAGGTGTATGGCAGAAAAAAAAATCAGCGTGCAAAATTTCAGAAGTAGGAAAAAAAGCTGAAAAACTAGACAGGGAGGGGATAGCTGAGAATGAAAAAGACTAAGCTGGGATGAGGGAGAGAGAAGATTCAAAGGCAAAAGTGTAATAAGTAAAGCATGGACATCTCAGCCAGGAAGCACATGAGTGAAAGGATTGTTAGCTTTCTATTCCTTTAAGGTGGGAATGGGCAAGCTTAGAATCTGCAGGGCCAGACACACCCTAAAAGCCTTGGACACAGCTGCAAACAATCCTTTAAAAGCTGCCGCCAGGTTGTAATTATTAATGTAACAGAAAAATAAGTGTGAGGAGAAGAATGACATTAGCCTCTGCATATGGCAACACTTGCTTAATCTTGTCTAAGCTGAGGGGCTAAGTAGGTTGGTCCTGGATGGATGGGTGGAATTAAAAAATACCAAGACTATAAATTAAACTAGGGGGGAGGGAATACCTATGAGGAAACAGGAAGCAAATCAGTTCTGTACTGTTGCCAAGGAACTATATGGATCTACCCATGACATCACCAAAGAAGAGAGCTCAGCTTGGAGGACACTTTACTCTTTAATTATATCTGTTCCATCATTTGTTCTAGATGTAATTAAAAATCAAATTTATTCCTGCAGGCTGCTTAAAGAACAAAGACAGGTCTTAACTTTTTAAAAAGTTGAACGCTTGTTTTCAGATAATCTTAGTTTCATCGTCATAGCTCAATGAATGTTATGTCAGCCTGTATAATAAAGCTTATCTCGTCCATGACTTGATTGTGAAGGAAAGGGTCAACCTGACATGCTTTACTGAAATCTGACTGGGTGGGGACCCCCTCCCCCTCTTCAAGAAGTGCATTTCCAGATTTCAGGTATGGCACCAGTAGTGATTTCAGGGCGAGAATGCGGCTATAGTTTATCTGGTAGTCTTTGGTGACTCTTAGGGATGCTACCACATAAAGCCAGGTGAAAGATCCTGTTCATGAAACTGGGGCATTCAGTTGGAGCTGCTGCTTGTCTACCTTCCTCCCAGCAACAGAAGGGTATCCATACCTCTTAAACTATTACATTATTTGATTTGTGCTAGCAACGGAATCCCTGAGAAGGGATTCATCTTGTAATGAACTCATTTAGGACAATACTACTAATATTGCCTGCAATGACACTCTAATGTCATTTTGTTGTTGTTTGCATGTACTTCCATATTCAGCTGATGCTATGTTGCTGGCTGAAGTTCAAAATGATTGGAATAAATGTTAGCTAAATTGTATGAAACAAGGAGTATGGATCTGAAAATTAATGTATCCAAGGCTGAAGAATTTGTGTTGGACAGGGAGAATTGAACTGTTGCAAGCTACATAAATGGTGAAAAATCAGAACAAAGTGATACATATGTGTATCATGGTAGAATGTTTTCCAAAGATATTGAGTTCCTGATATATTACTCTTTTAAAAGATTAGCAAAATACCCTGCAATAACCTTTATCTAGCCCGTTATCACTGCATCATTAAAGTTAATATAGCTGTTTGTTTCAATATATTGATTTTAAAAAGTATTAAAAAAAACAAACCTATGATGCACAACTGTGATGCACTAGCACCAGCCTTCAGAAAGATTATAGAACAAATCAACAAGCATGCAAAATATTAAGCTCTGCCATAAAACTGAATGATACATACTTAGGAGTAAACTGCACTTAGTTCAAAATTACTTAATTCCAAGTAACTAAAATATTGCAGTTTAAATTGTGGGTCTTTATTATTACCTTTATGACCCTTAAAATCAACTACTATATTAAAACACTCATGTATAAGAAAACAACAAAATGAAGACATATGGGATATAACCTTAATAATCTCTGTGAATGGATAAGAATGATATTTATCTATTTGCAAAGATTTGTTCCTAGTTATATAAATCCAAAGTGTTTTTTTTTTAAATAAAAAGCCTCTGCTGAAATTAAAGTATTATAATAACCAGTCTCTCCAATTTTCTACAATCCCAGAGCTTATTACACAGGGTAAGACTTACTGAGAATTATCTTAATTAAATAAAAACTTCTTGATTTATATGCTTAAATTTACTCCAAAGACTTGGAGTAAACTTGTGTCACTTTTAAGGTTAACATGTACTTCTGATTTTGAACAAAACACAATTGTGTGTATACTTAACACAGAAGAAAGTTTCACTTTAAAGTTTGTTATGGAGGAAATAAAATTGCTCACTTAGGCCACCCTGGGCATTTTCAAAACAGACCACCCACATTGCAAATCTCACCTTGCTGGGGCCCACCTGGATGGTCTTTGGAAACGGTTCCCCAACAAGCAAGAGGGGGAGGAAGTTCATTTGCAGTCCTTTAGTACAGCCATCCCCAGGCCTTCTGTCCCAGACTCAGACTGGGTGCCGGAACAGGACGACCGTTTCCAAGAACAGTGCAAGTTGGAGCCCTTCTTCCGAAAGGAAGAGGTGAAGCGGTAGAACTTCCTATGCTGGTTACGGAGATACTCTCGGTAGTTCCTGGTCAGCAAGATATAAAGAAAGGGATTGATGCAACTATTGCTGTAGGTCAGGCAGGTGACCAGGTAGTTGATATACTTCTGGATGTGGAGCGGCAGCCCCAAGGGCCCGTGGTAGAGGGACACCAGCTGCCAGATCCAGAAGGGCAAGAAGCAGGCCCAGAAGACCAGCACGATGGTGAAGACCAGGATGAGAACTTTCTGGCGGGGAGACCGCTTGGGCCCCGTTTTGCGCGGCGGGTTCTTCTGCGACTCCAAGTAAGTGGCGGCCAGGCGGGCGTAGAGGCAGCCAATGAGCAGCCCGGGGGCCAGGATGCTGGTGCTGAAAAGCACCGTCAGGTAGAGGCGAAAGGCGTCGGGGCTCCAGGTCGGGGCACAGATCTGCTTGCCGTCGCCGCTCTGGCTCAGGGTGACCATCAGCATCATGGGCAGGGTCAGCAGCAGCGAAATGCCCCAGACGGCGCCGGCGGTGATCCTGCGGAAGCGCGGCGCCCGGTACCGCACGGCCAGCGGCCGGGTGACGGCCAGGTAGCGCTCGGTGCACATGACGGTCAGGGTGAAGATGCTGGCGTGCATGGTGAGCAGGTCCAGGCTGAGCAGGAAGCGGCAGCCCACTTCGCCGAAGTACCAGTCCTGCGCCACCGACGTGCCCACGATGAACGGGATGGAGCACAGGTAGAGCAAGTCGGCCAGCGCCAGGCTGGCAATGGAGCCGGACAAAGGCGCGCCCCGGGCGCCGCGGCCCGAGCGCCAGAGCAGCGCCAAGGTGTACACGTTGCCCGTCACGCCAGCCACACACATGACGGAGAGGATGGCGCCAAAAACCCAGGTCGCCGCCATTTCCCCGCCATTCCCCCCCGCTGCCCGAGAAGACTCGTTGCCAAGCCCGGCGCTCAAGTTGCGCTCCATTTCGAGCGCGGAGCAAGTGGGGCCAGTCGGCTCCCCACCCACCCCTCCAACTTGCCGCGCGGAGGCCACTGCCTCCCGCTCCCACGGCGGGGCTCCAGGCGGCCAATGGCTGGCTCCGTTCCCGAGCCTTGCCTGCCCCGCCGCTCCAGCATCGCCTGGGACCGGGCTTCTCCTCCTCCTCCTCCTCCTCCTTCAGTGGCTTGGCGATCGGAGTTGAGGATAAGCTACTCAAGTAGTCGAGGCTTGTCGGGAACTGCAGTTGCTCTCACGGGAGGGCGTTTGGATTCGTGGGATTGTCTTGTGCATGTTAAGCAACTAGCCTCGGAAGGAAGACTTGGATCAACTTTATTGTCACTTTGAATGTACACAAATCGGCATATATTAAAATGAAATTTTGTTGCATACAGCTCTCAAAGGGTCATCCCCTTCCATATGCATTACATAACCGTGACAGAATGAATGAATAAATAAAATAAATACAAAATTATGCATATGCCCATATATATTATATGACACAGAGAAACAATACAGTCTAGTTCCGATGTATACATGGATATGGCCAGAAAAACGAATCTTGGGAGTTTACCAGACAGATGACATAGGGAACAAAGCTGTTACAGAATCTGGTAGTCCTGCTAGAAATACTTTGAAACCTCCTCCCAGAGGGGAGCAACAGAAACAGACTGTGAAGTGGGTGTGTGGGGTTTCTAACAATGCTTTGAGCTCTAAGCACATAGCGCTTATAAGCAGTATCCTGAATGACAGGAAGTGAACTTCCTATAATCTTCTCTGCTGCCTTACCACTCTCTGTATGGACTTTCTCTCTGAGGCACTGCAGCCACCAAACAGTGATGCAGTTTGTTAAAACACTCTTAATTGTTCCTTAGTAAAAAGTGTTCAGGACAGAAGGAGAAAGATGTGCTCTCCTCATCCGATGCATCCGATACTTCACTAAGGATGAGTATAGAGGGACTACTTCAGGTTGTTAGTTATCTGTACCCCAGATACTTAATACTGTTGACCATCTCTACAGCTGCATCCTTGATACTGAGTGGAGTATGACCATGCTGGTTCTATGTAGATCTACTTAGGAGACTTTAGGAATTTACCCCCAGTTTGTCAAGTACTGAGGAGGTGAAAGCTTGGCAGCACAATCAGAATAGAGCTGGAAGGGACCTTGGAGGTCTTCTAGTCCAGTTCCCCAACAACTTAATAGCCAGCCATCAACTCCCCAATCTACATCTAAAAAGCTATAAATTACACCATATAAATACCAAACACAGATCAGCACCCACTCTGCTGTTTTCTGAAGATGGGCTCCAGCACATATTGGAAAGCTCAGAAGAGAAAACCTCTGGTCGATGTGACTGACCCAGATTGGCTCCTCCAACTTTAGGAATAGCCCTTCTTCAGTTTCATTAACACTATTTACCATTCACCTTTCTTTTGAGAGCTGCAGGAGGATCTCCACCTCACTGTCATAAAAAAGCTTGTGAGGTTTGTAATTTGGCTGAGAGGTAGTGAACGGCCCAAATCAGATATTATAGATAGGAGAGGCTATGATAGTCAAAAAATTAGGGTGAGTCTGTCAGCACCCTTTTAGACTTAGGACTTTTTGAAAGGCTCTAAGTCACCCCATGGTCTCTATGAGCTCCATAAACATGTGAAAATAGCTCCGCTGGATTAGGCCAAGGCTCATTTTAGTCCAAAATTTGGTTTCTCACAGTGGCCAACCAGAAACAAGCAGGAGCTTTTGAAATACATTTCCCTTACTGTTACTCCCTTTCTCTTGTTATTTCCAAACATGCTATCTGGCCCCATCTCAGAAGTATTCTTAAAATAAACAGCTCTTAACACACCAGGAATCTATCCAACCCTCTTTTCAAGTTTTGTTTCTTTGCTTTTGCACTTACAAGTCAATCAGTATTGACTTCTGGTGACCGCTGGGAAAAGTTTTTGTTTTCAGATTTCAGAAGTGATTTGCCACTGCCTCCTTCATAGGGGTGAGAAAATGAGTTACTGGCCCAAAGTCACCCAGCTTAGGCTTCATACAGGACTAGAACTCGCAGTCCCCCAATTTCTAGCCTGATGCCTTAACCATTCTATTAAACTGGCTCTTTAGTGGCCTTCACCTAACTCACTTGTGATAATGAATTTATATGATTAATTGTATACTGTATGTCTGTCTCCTTCCAAATAGCTTCCATGGATGACTCTGGCCTTTAGCATTTTAAGCAAAAGTGAAAATCTTCTCTCTCTGCCCACTTCCTCCATGCTGAGAGTGATTTTATATATTACAATTATGGCCTTGCCCAATTCATCTGATTTTTATACACCGCAATCATGTCTTCATTCGGTCATCTTTTTTTCTAGGCTAAAGAGTCCCAAATGTTTTAGCCTTCTCTTGTAAGAAAGATATTTTGTTGCCTGCTCCTGTGTGTTTTTCCACTCTGTAATATCCTTTTTTCAAATTTGATGTCTAGAACTATACAGAATTTTCCAGATGTGGATATACATTTGAATAAGGGCTTTACAACATCAAGAGTTTTACTTTCCATCTCTTTCCCTAATGCTTCTTAGCATGAAATTTGTCTTTTTTAAATGCTTCCTGCTCAGTATATCCACTGAATTATCCACTGTAGTCCTGAAATCTTTCCCAGGTTATTTACAGACAGCTCAGCTGCTAAAGCTGCATGTAGAAATACCTTTAGCTTTATATGTGAGTGGTGCATTTCATCTAGTCTGTCTTCTGAATTCTGAAAGAATCTCAGGCAGAATTATTCCTTTGTTTAAACCATGACTACATTGGTATGCATGTTCAAGCCTGCAGTCACAGGAAACAAATATAAAACCCTTTTAGAACAGGCTGTATGAGAAAAGGTAGAGAGACCAGTGAGAACTTGAAAACGTCAACAAAATTCAGGACTCACTTTTCATAACTATATACACATTAATCCCTCAGATCCAGGGCTGTCTTAACAGCATTATGAGCCTCGGGCAAAGCAGTGTACTGGGGCCCTTATGACAACTAGTCATATGAATAAAAAAAATAAATGGTCGATAAACATATATTTATTTTATTGGTACTTCCAACAAAATCGGTGTTGAAACATTAAAAACATGCTGTGCAGTAACAACTAGTCAACATGATAAACATTGAACAATAAACTAGGCTTGAAAAACCCTGTATACACAAATTAGTATGGGGCCCCTATGCTCGTGGGGCCCACAGCAGAGGTGGTATTCAGCAGGTTCTGACCATTTCTGGAGAATGGGTAGCAGAATTTTTGAGTAATTCAGAGAACTGGCAAATACTATCTCTGACTGGAGATTTTATAGTATCCTTCCCCTGCCATGCCCACCAGGCCACGCCCACAGAACCGGTAGTTTAAAAAAAACTTGAATCTCACCACTGGCCCACAGGCAAGTGCCCATCAGGCCCAGGCGTTAAGACAGCCCTGCTTAGATCTATAACTTTCAGAAATCTAAAGTGCAAATTAAACATTTGGTGCAAATACATGTAAAAAAGCTCCACCAGAAAGACAACTTGACATTTTCCTTTTATTTTAGACTGCTTCTCCCACAGCTCCTTAATGTTAACCAGGCTGATTGGGTCCCATGAGAGTTGAAGTGCAAAAAATTTTTTTTTCCTTATTTCTTCAAATCACTCTTGGCTCCTGGGAGCTGCTTGGACAAATCCCTGCAGTATTCTTGGCAATATGGATATAGTTTATCCCTATCATTTTCCCAGGGCTGAAAGAAATCGAATAGTTCAAAGTCACTCAGCTGGTTTCATTCCTAAGGTGGAACTAGAACTCACAATCTCTCAGTTTCTGGCCTGGTACCTTGATCATTAGACCAAATGGGCTTTCCCCAAAACATCTAGCATACTCAAAAATATCTAAAACTAACTTACTACTTTGTCAGTGAAAATATCAGGAAGGTAGAAAGAAATTACACAGAAGACTATTAACTCTTTTGGCATGGATGCTGTTCTGCTCACTATCTGTCATGAAAAATTCAAGGTATACAAACATTTATCCAGAGATAAAACATCTTCTCTTTGCTGTTAAATAAAGCAGTATCTTTGGACTGTTTTTCATAAAACAAAATATCCTGGATTTCCTACACAGACCAATATGTCACTAAAATAACTATACAAAAATATTTTCCCTGAAAGTGGCTCTTTAAAATATTTTAGAGAAAAATGTTCCTTCTCTGTATTTTAAGGCATGTAATATTTTATTTCTTTATTCTTTGAGGTAGTGTCCTTAGTATTTAAAATGTTAGCTTAAGCATATATCTCCTTGAAGATTTTTTTTTTTACACAATTATTTTGAATTCAAAATTTGAACCCACAGAGACATCCATGTGTTCTAGTGACTTTTCTTCATGGCCTTTAAACTTTGGACCTAAACTAGTAGTGTATCCACATAAAGAAGTTTAATGTCAATTAGAACAAAATGCATGATATACTCACAGCCCTTTGGAGGGGTGGGTGGGAAAATAAAGATTTATTTTATATTTATTCTCATTTATTAGGTTCTGGGGATATTCCTGATTGTGGTAATTGACCAGCCACAATCAACTCACACTGAATATTTGATCAATTGATGCAGGTTTCATCATTGTAAGACGTTTGTCTCTATTTTCTTTCTTCATTAAATGTAACATTGGTGTTATTTTAAATAAAAATAATCGAGAGGGAAATAAGTGCCTGTCATTTGGTTGTATCTATAGAACATATTAAAAAAATAATTCAGAAACAATACCCAGTATTTACTTTTGATCCAATTTCATTAACTTTCATTTCTAATGTCAAATCTTATCAAATTCATTACATGAGACTTACCAACAGATATTGGAGTTCTATTAGATTGTAAATGCCATCAAAATATGGCAGTGTCTTCACACTATCTTTATAGTCATACATTACTTCCTCAGTTCCTGCTTTTTCTTTTAACTGGCATATACAGATGTCATCTTTACTATATGGATTT